TATCAGAGTTTATATCCTCTTGTTGGATTGATCCCTTTAGTATTATCTAATGACCTTTCATGTCTCTCGTTATGGTCTTCATTTTGAAGTCTATTTTGTCCTATATGAATATTGCTACCCCAGCTTTTTTTTTTCATTTCCATTTGCATGGAAAAATTTTTTTTCCCTTCCCTTCACTCATCCTATGTGAGTCTTTTGTTCTGAGGTGGGTCTCTTGTAGACAGCATATATTTGGGTCATGTTTTCTTATCCATTCAGCTACCCTATATCTTTTTATTGGAGCATTTAATCCACTTACATTTAAGGTTATGATGGAAAGATACCTATCTACTGCCATTTTATTTCGTTATGCCTATGTTTCTCATTCTCTTTATTTCTACTTCTTATTACAGCAGTCCCTTTAACATTTCCTGCAATGCTGGTTTGGTGATGATAAACTCCTTTAGTCTTTTTTTGTCTGGGAAGCTCTTTATTTCACCACCTATTTTGAATGATAGCCTTGCTGGATAGAGTACTCTTGGTTTCATATCCTTGTTTTGCATTACCTTGAATACTTCATGCCATTCCCTTCTGGCCTGTTGAGTTTCTTATGAGAAGTCAGTTGACAGCCTATGGGGGCTCCTTTGTAGGTAACAGATTGCTTTTCTCTAGTTTCCTTAAGATTCTCTTTGTCTTGAATTCTTGGCATTTTAATTATGATGTGTGTGGCTATAGTCCTCTTTGGATTCTTCTTGTTTGGGACTCTGTGCCTCCTGAACTTGTGTGACTTTTTCCTTGACCAGGTTAGGGAAGTTTTCTGCCATGATTTCTTCAAGCAGGTTCTCTAACCCCTGCTTACTTTCAACCTCTTCTGGCACTGCTATAATACAAATATTGTTAAGTTTCATGCTGTCCCACAGCTCCCTTAGACTGTCGTCCTGTTTTATAATTGTTTTTTGTTTTGGGGTCTCTGATTGGTTGATTTTTTCTACTCTCTCTTCTAATGCACTGATCGGATCCTCAGCTTCCTCTAATCTGCTGTTTATTCTTTCCAGTGTATTCTTTATTTCTTCTCTGTCATTCTTCACTTCTGACTGGTCATTTTTCATAGTTTCCATATCTTTTTTCATGCTGTTGAGCATCCTTACAATCAGTATTCTGAAGTTTATATCTGAGAGATTGCTTATCTCCATTTCATTTAGTTCTTTTTCTGGAGACTTCTCTTGCTCTTTTATTTGGGGCTCATTTTTTGGTCTCCCCATTTTGGCTACTTTTTGGGGTTTGTTTCTAAGTGTTAGGTAGGCCTGCTAGGACTCTCACTCTTTTTGGAGGGTGTCTGGTACAAGCCAATGTCAGATGCAGTTTGTGACTGTCCCTGAGTACCCTGTTTGGAGCTATCTACAACCCCCAGCTTGAGGTCTCCTCTGCTGGGGCTGGGTGCGTTTGGACAGGACCAAGATGCACACTAAAGTCTGCTTTTCCAAGGCCCAGGTCCAGAAGTGGATCAAGCAGACTCAAAGCACTCTGAGGTCTGCCTCTGCCTACAGGCTGATTAACCTGATTCTCTTAATGAGCCTGTCTGTAGAATCTCCACAGGGTGGGGCGGCTGGTTGTTGTGTTTCTTAACAAGCCTCAGGCTGTAGAAGGTCTTCTGGGCAGGGTGAGAGAGGCTTTTCAGCAGGGTGGGACAATTGCTTCCCCCCTCAGGCAAAAGCCAAAATTTCCCCTCCCCCAAAAGTTGTCCTCCACAGTCTGGGGGAATGACTCTGGCACAGGTGTTCCCTGATCTTACTCTCCAGAGCCCACAACCCCAGACTATCCCCACACAGCTCCGGTCCACTCCACTCCCCCTGTGCCGGAACCCAGGGTGAGTGGCTGCACAGGAAACTTTGTGTGTTGGCTCTTTAATAGGGTGCCTGCAGTTTCTCCCTGGCAGACAGAAACCCAGCTGCTTTTCACAGCTAGATGTTATGTGAGCACCTTTCTGAGCTCTGGTGCTCTTGGCTGGGAAGCCCAGCCTGGGGTTTTGGGCCCTGGAGTTCTCAGTGGGAACCCCCACAGCTGAGATCTCCCTCCAGACCTCAGCTGCTGCCTGTGGGAGCCCAGCCAGCCCTCTCGTGTGTCCACACTTCCTACCCATCTCTGTGCCGTCTCCACTTTTCCTCCTTGGTGATGAGGGTGCTCTCCAGCTCAGCTTCAGTTGGTTTTCAGGATGGTTTTTCTGTGTTTAGTTTTAAATCCAGATTGGTCCCAGGAGTGTTGGCATAGCTTCCATTCAGCCCGCCACCATCTTGGGTCTCCTTCATTATTACATTTACAGAAGTGCTGAGTCAAGTCCTTTTATGTATTTTGTTGCATATTTCTTTGTCATATTATCAGTTGGATCACACCCACATTTCTGCTGTAAGTGACATGGTGTGGAATAATGGTACAGTGTGGTATGGTAGAAAAGGGAATGAGTCAGGATGCATAACAGACACCTTTTTACATAGTAAGGGTCAGTTTTGTTTTCTAAACCTTTGTTTCAGTTGTACGTGTCTGTTTTATTCTGGGTCATGATATAACATAAATTTGTTACTGTGAGTTCTTGCCAGAAAATTTGAAAGTTACTGTATGGTGTTTAACTAGAATTGCTATTAAGAGGGTGCATATTTTCTGCTTTATTGGAAAATACCAAATTGTTCTTCCAATGATTGTAATATTTTATGGTCCCATCAACAGTGTGTAACAAGCTCACTTTCCCCCAGGTTTTCTCTAACACCTAGTGTTGGTTTAACTTGCAATTTTGTTATACTGATGAGCATCAAGTAGTATCTGTGGTGTTATTGTTTGCGTTTCCTAGGTTACTGGTGAGTTTAAACAATCCTCATTTTTATTGGCTGTTCAGTTGTCTGTTCTATGAATTCCATATTCACATATTTTACCTATTTTTCTTTTGAGTTACTGGTCTCTGTTTTGGTTGTATGTTTAACTGATTTTAAGAATTATTCACTTCATATTATTTGCACCTTTTTTTCCTTGGCCTTTTTCCAAAGCAGCAAGCTTTTGTTTTTATTGTTGCTCTGTTATTTTTATTGTTTTTATCTTTATTTTCTCCCTTTCATTAGGTTTCCTCAAGTTTTCTTTTTCAAATGTTTTTGCCTCACTTCATTCATTAACTCTAATATATTTTTAATTTTTATATTTAAGTCTATAATTTTCTCCTCAAAAAGAATAGCCATGGCTTTAACCCACAGTTGATATGTAGTGATTTTCCTGTCACTGCTAAATGTTTCATAATTCTCATTATGGTATCTTTTAAAATTTTTACACACACATTTCAGGTGCTATGTTTTTGTTTGCATTTTGGTTAGATGACTTTTTAACCAGGTAGTGTGATGCATTTTATAATGATTTTTTGAGATTTGTGTAGCTTTGCTTTATCCTAGAATATGTCCATTCAGATTTTGAACATACCGCATAGATTTTTAAAGAATGTGTATCTTTAATCGTTGTGTTTAGAGTTTATTAGTGTTTAGTTATGTTCATTAGACAGACTTGTTAACCATATTCAAAACTTTTTTTCCCTTTGCAATTTTATCAGTGTAACCACTTCTTAGTGTGCTTAATGTCCTCTGTGATTGTGGGCTGGTGACCTTCTGTCCTGTCAGTGTGTGCTTTAGATACTTTGACACTGCTGGTTCATTCAGGTTCAGTGTTTAATCTTCTGATGAACTGGTCGTTTGGTATACCTTTAGTAATGACTTCATCTCTAATCATGATTTTTTGCCCTAAGGTCTTTTTTTAATTATATTTTTATTGTATCAGGGATTTATTCAGTTCATAATTGCTTGGTATCTCATCCCTTTGTTTTCATGTTCCTGTGTTATCTTTTAGTGGGCCTCATGAATAAATACTTAGGAATAGATTTTAGTTGTTTTCAAGTAGATGTTTTTAAAGTGTTAATTATTGACATAATTAGGTTTTATTTCTACATTTTATGTTGTTTTTCACTTACACTTACTATTTTTGAAAACTCTTCCTTATTTTTTGTTATTCTTTTGCGTATTTTTTCTTCAGTATTCATGGACTTGATTTATAACAAATGTTCTTAATTTTCTCCATTTTTCTCTTTTACTAGTTAGAAGTAATGAATTCTCTATTTAATTTTTATTTGTTACCCTTAATTTTTAATTTGTATACTTGCTTTATCAAAATGTCTGAAGTTAATATTGCCATTTTTAAGCCAATAATATTTATTTCCATTATCTTTTCCTGTTAAAAAAACAAAACTTAGATTTGTTTGGTGATAACATTTGTTAGGGTTACCCTCTATTTGCCCCCAAATTGCAAGTAAGGAGTCTGGATGAACCTCCTGAATGTTGATTTTTGTTTTTATTTAAGTATATTTTTATCACCTAAACTTCATGATGATATGTAATAAAAAATCACTTTAAATGTTTGTATATAAGGAAATGAAAATACCTACACTAAATAATGTTCAATTTTAGAATATTATGTAGTTTTAAATTGACTTACATTCTGAAATATGACTATAGTATTAGGCGTTGTCAGCTGAATGTGTGCTTACTGAGTACTGACGCCTGTGGTTAGAGTAGTTTGCCCCTATTGGCTGTAGTCAGTCAAGACCATGACAGCTGTTTATTGTTCACAGAGCCGTAAAATGAAAGTTCTTAAAGATTGTCTATTTAAACGCTTTTGTTTTACCAAGTAAGGAAATCAACCAAATTAATTAATAATCTAGACCTGAAACCTCTTCCTGATTCTCTTACTCTCAGTTTTGTGCAGTTTATTCTGAACTATACTTTCTTTTTTATTGCTCCTATTATAAAAAGCTTATTTAAAAAAATAATTCTGTTTATAATATGCACATTACAATATAGGAGGGACAGTACTCTTGTTTAACTTATTTTTTAAACTGTACATACTTGAACAGCAAAAGTAAGTTATATTAAATAAGTTGAAATAAGTAATTATAATAAGTTATTTTTAAATGTTTGTTTTTGTTTTATTAATTTCAGGTGTAAAAAGTGTTCTAGTTTGAAACCAATACAAAATCTAAATAATCTGGTTGATAAAACATCATGGATCCCTTCTTCTGTGGCAGAAGGTTAGCTAAATTCCTGTCCTGTAATTTTCACTGTCTTTGGGTAAGGTGATCTCACTGATTATATTTCAGTATTTGTGGATATAGTAAAACCAGAGCAAAGTGATTATAATAAAAGTATAAACTAAATGTTTAAAATATTTGGAAACTTAACTTTCAAGCATCTGCCAGTATATTTAATCTTAGCTCATATTTTAATGTTCAATAATTTGTTTTAGTATTAATCATTAATCACAAGTACAACTTCTACAACATCTCTCTAGTTCATAGTGCCTTGGAATTAAAAAGAGTTTTCGAGATAGGTATTACAACTTTTTACCCAATACAAGTCTTTAGCTGGAACAAGAATCCTTTTATATCACATTCTTAACTGTGGTCGCCTAGCCTTGGCTTAAAACTCTCTGTGACAGGGGACTCGTTACATTGCGAAGCAACATATTCCCTTAATTTTTAGGCAGTTTTATTTATTTATTTTGTTATCCTCACCTGAGGATACTTTTTCCATTGCTTTTCAGAGAGTAAAGGAGGGAGGGAGGGAGGGAGA